TCTGTACCACAGCGTTTTCTCGTCTCTTCTGTCTTGACGCACTCTCGCCCCCCGCCGCCGCCCCCCGCCCCGTGTCGTAAACCATATACATGAGCAGGTCATGTCCCCTGCGGGATCGAAAGGCCTCAACCTTGGCGTGGACGTCATATCTCCCCGGGACTTCGAGGGCAAGGTGGACTTCCGGAAGGTGCACTTCACGTACCCTACTCGCCCCGACATGCACGTGCTGTCGGGCCTGGATCTGACGCTCCGGGCGGGGGAAGTGACGGCGCTGGTGAGAGATTCTGTGTGGCGAAACCCTCTGGGCGAATGCCCGCATGTGTCAAAGAAACTCTTCGTTCCACGGCCTCTCAATGATTCGTGTAGCAGTGTAGCAGACAGACCCCCCCCCTCTTTTAAACCCACCGCAATCCACGGATCCCCTCGGTCTGAGAACCACGTTTTTCTTTCTCTTTCGGTCTTTCCTCCGTTACTCACCTCACGTGTTACACATGCACGAGCGCGTGCCTCTCGCTTGTTGTTCGCGGCCACAGGTGGGCAATAGCGGCGGGGGCAAGAGCACGATCGCGGCCCTGCTGAGCCGCTTCTACCCGCCGAGCCGGGGGAAGATCTTGGTAGACGGGGTGGACGTTACGGACCTGGACAGGAGGTGGCTCACGCAGAGGATAGCCTTGGTGGGACAGAACCCCGCGCTTTTCACGGGGTGCGTCCTTGAGAATCGTATTCGTGTGCCTGCGGTTGGTTTGCTTTGGGTCGATCTCTCGCGGCGAGAACGGGGGGGGGTGTACTCATAGTCGTGCATGCCGTAGTCGTTAGACCATTGACCTCGCATCCCTACAAAGCCGGGACGGAGCACGCCGGGTTCTCACCGGACCAGGCTCTCACATCACCAAGCGCGAAGCGCCGTGAGATATTCGGCGAGTCGCATGAAGGGTGCGCTGCATCCTGCTAAGGGTGTTCGGCATCTTGTGCTTACTTCCTTGCGTACGGATGACAGCTGCGTATGAATTAATTTATTTTCTGGTGCTTTCACTTCCAGAGACAGTTGTAAGCACTGTGTAACTGCCTCGAGGGTGCTTGACCATTTTAACACAACGTGGTGCGATCATCCCCCTTGCGCGGAGTGAGGGTTCTCCACCCCACACAACATGATCTACTCGACCACCATTATGGTTACAGCCCCAAAACACCAGAGGTAAAAAACAAACAAACTGTAAGTGCCTCGAGGGTGCTTGACCATTTTAACACAACGTGGTGCGATCATCCCCCTTGCGCGGAGTGAGGGTTCTCCACCCCGCACAACATGATCTACTCGACCACCATTATGGTTACCGCCAAAAAAAAAAACGGAGGAAAAAAAAAAAAACGGTAACCTGGTTGCCGAGTTCACGAAGTGAATTGGCTTGTTTTACAACGTCGTTGCCAAGCGACGAAAACCCAATCCCGATGGCGAACACCAAGGGGGAGGGGATGTTTT